TCAATCAAAATCCCTCCAACATGTTCCATTCTGCAGCCACTGACTTTGAGGATGACGTGTTAACGTATGCAGCTATACCTGAACACAAAAACTCAAAAGTACAGTCGGCAAGACAACTTCTCGAACAGCTGGGCACGACAAATTTCAGAATGAGTACTATGGCTCGCGTCATCTCAGAATGGTTGATCTGCCTGATTGCGAAGTGACTCAATATTTCGCAATAACTCTTCCCCAGAGAGCTATGTTCAGAATTCTCGTTCGTTTTGTCATATTGCATGACGCTTAGAGCGTTCGATAATTTTTTTTAGCCAACTACCCTGTACATAGTGTACTTGTACACACTAATATGTGCGTGAGCACGAATGCATATAAATAATGTCGAGTTAATTCCCGTGTCAGCGTCCAATCACCAAGGAGGTCTTCCGTGTGTGTTGTTGGTGAGGCCATAAATATAATGGTGTTGGTTGCCTGTGTGAGACAGTAAGCAGCGGGTCGTGGTGGTGACACAACACACAACCCACTCAACAACTCCACAAGTGTAAGTGCTGCTCCTCGCCTTAGAGGTTGTGTATTTAGCGACGAGTGTTTTCCAGTGGTGTTTACAGTGGTTGTGAGTGTTGGTTTAGTGTTGGTGTTGAGTGAGAGTAAATGTGGTTGTTGGAGGTGGTGTGTATCCCGTGGGTCAGCCCTTAGTGGGACACCTGTGCCGTATTGTACTGTCAGACCATAAATTACTTTTACCTCTCCGGCGAAATTTTCAGTATATAGCTCTTGCATCTAGATTCACATTGGTAGCCCTGCTTCCTTATATGACACTTTTCTGTCACTTGTTATAATGCAATTTCTTTTTCTGTATAATGTTAAAATGGTTAAATGTATTATAAATCAATGAATACAAATCGAATGTAAACAAGTCATAAAATATCCTGAGAATATTGTGGACTTGTTCAATTATTAGTTTGAGGACCTCGTAAGCCAGTGCTTGTTTATTACTATATCGTCAGTTTTTTTTTTCGCTTTGCTTGTTGGTCACATTATCAAACAAATGAAAAACATTTGTGATTATTTAAATCGAAAAAACAAACATCAAATACTGGTATGATTATACTGACTTGAAATGAAGTGAAAATAGTCGAAATGAAATACCAGGAGCTGACGACATTATTGTGCATCGTCTGTTGACTGGCAGTTTTTCAAATCTTATTTAAAGTTCATTTAAACGTGTAAAATCAAATAAGCAATCTATATAATTTATTGTTTCTTTTAATATATTTTCAATAATTTCTCGGATAAGAAGACAATACTCAAACATAAATTATATTTAAATAATATTTGGTATAAGCTTCTCCAGCCTTCATCAAGTTGGCTGGTCATTAGTGGCGCCAGTGTCTTCATAATACAGAGCTACCGTCAGCTGAGACACTCCTACCGTCTAACGTGACCATATATCTTGGAGCTATAAGCGAGACATACCAAAAATCATGAAGGAAAATCCCTACAGCAACACCGATTATACAGTTATACTTGAACCAAAACCCAAACAATTGTACCTAACAATGGTATTTGCCTACTTTCCTTCTAATGCTCTTACTTTTCACTGGATAGATTTGTTTTAACATTTCTGGAGTTATTTTAGTACATTGTGGAAATCCAGACATGTTTGCTTAAGTTAACTTTCGTGACTAGTAAGGCTTTGAGGGTTGGTTCTTTTAATTGTGATTTTTCAAATGTCTACAGTTGGTCTATTTGAGAGAAAACACGTTCGGTAGATGAATTTGTTCCAGGAAGACACAGAATGAATTGAACCAATCTTAATATGTGCTGGTGGGTAATATCTCTGTCCTTAAAGTGAGTGAACATTTCTACCCAGCACTGGTCTGTAGGTAATTTAGCTGTATGTCACTCTGGCACTTTTTCCTCACAGCAAAACTCGTGAAATAACTCTGAATCAAACTTTGTATTATATAATTTCTTTTCTGCAGCAAAATCCACTGTTTTCTCAACGTCTTTAATGAGGCCCACTGCATATGTGCAAGGTCTTGCAAGTAACCTGACCACTGGCCTAAATACTGAACACATGTCATAAAAATCTGTAACTATTTTCTTCAATGCAGATGATTCAATTAATCCATCTTCTTCAAGTTTGTTTGCTAGAACCCTCACTAAATGTGGTAAAAATACATTGTCTTTCTTGGATTACATATTTTGCTTCAAATCATTGAATGCGATCATAACTTCTACCGCTGTGGTATCTTCCCCTTCAATCTTTGAGATGACCTGATGAAAAGTGGCTGACTGACTATGCACAAAGTTCAGCCAGACTTCTGCACAATGGTTCTCAAAAAAAGAAAAAAAATCTTTAGCACAATAGGACACTTCCTTTGACTGAGAAAATACGACTTTAAGCCAGGAAACATTTTAAGAATTCTCTCAACAGCAGTCATTAGTGCTAACCATCTTATTTAACTGTACACCAGTAGCTGTTTGTATTCAATTTACACAAAATCGCACACAAGTAGAAATATGAATATATCCTAACAACAACTGCTTCCACACCAATAGGCAAACAGTCGCAGGCAGTCTGCACAGCATTAAGTAAAATGTGGGCACAACCAATCGATTATCTGCCTAAGTAAGTATTTTGTTTCCTGAAAATGTTATAACTCCGTTTCTTTTCGCTCCACTAAAATTACTGTTTGTATTATTATCGTGGCAAGCAACTACTGTAATTATAATGTAATATATGATGTACAAAAGCCACTGTGACATTGCAATGCACTTTTTATATCGGTAAACCCTTTATAAACGGCAACACAGAATTTGACACTCGTGTGAACGAAAAATATTATATGTATCGCGTAACATATGGCATCTATGCACGCAGCCGAAACGTTTCGAATTTCTTGTGTTAAGATTTATTCTTTCGTTAATGAAGCGGGATATTTCGGGACAAATTCTGAAAATGCGGGACATTATTAGAACGTCTGGTCACCTTCCTAAAAAAAGAAAAAAAAAATCTACCGAGGCCAAGACTGTGGAGAGTAAATCACAGGTGCTCTGGTTGTTTCAGAATTCTTCACAGTGAGTGTCAAGGTCATGACGGGAGTTTACAAGTGCGCTCTATAACAAAATTTATTACAACCACAAACTTCACTCCGGATAATATTGCAATAATTCGAATTTTTTATATATTTTTTGTTTAAAAAAAATTAATTTGCCTTATTTGGAGTTGAGTTTGTGACATGTTTCGAAATATGATTCGAATATTTCGAAACACAAGGATAAGGGTACTGACGCCTCAGTCACGCTTACTAACCCCTATCAAGATGACAAGGAAAGGTAGAGTTCATTTTGAAATCCATCGAACCCAAGGATAAAATTAATTTATGGCCTGACTGTACATTACACCTGATTGACTGTTGCATCGCGCTGTATACACGACCGTTTGTTGTGTTATCTCGTTCACAGGTAGTCACTTGCATCTACCATGCAAGTATATATATATATATATATATATATATATATATATATATATATATATATATATATATATATATATATATATATATATATATATATAATTACACACATGTGTGTATGTTTACTTCTGTTGTTTTGGTGAAAGTCTCGCATGATATAGCACCTAAACGAAGGTATATTTCTCCTTCGACGTCCGTTCTAGTATAACAGGGTAGAGTACAAACAGGCTGCTGGGTTAATTAAATAGTTTAATGGTAAGGATTTTCTTTTGGCGGAGTAAAATCGTCCACCGTTAGAATGAAATACCGGTGGTATTGCTCAAAGGTTAATGGCAGTACCAGGGGTGGAGAACACCTGGGTCTTGGCAGTATTGGCGCTGGTTTGGTGGTTCAGGACCATACAAGGATTACCCCGAGTCTTTTGTTATTATTCCTTGACGACATCGAAGATAAATTTGGATCATGTGTCAGCTTGCCTGTCTGTTCCTAATACAAAGTCCATAATTCTGATCTGAGGTTTGCCAACATTTCACAGTTGGTCAGCCTTAGTATTAGCTCGAATTTGTGCGATTTATTTTTCAACCTGGGGCAAAGGTCAAGATCACCCTTACACTTTGAGGCATCAATAGTTATCAACAGATTGATTCGGTATTTTCAGCGATGAGAAATATGACTGCAATAACCTCCCTGAGGCATAGTGAAGTTTCATTCGGTGAGAGACGTTCATTAGTATTTGCTTATTTTTGATAAGTTATGTACAGGTCTCGTGAAATTACAGGAAAGTGAAAATTGAGAGGACTTAAGTTGGTGTACAATAGCAAGTAGGCACAGTAGGCACAGTGCACCAGTGTTAAAAAGAGTACAGTACGTGTCAGTTTTTTCCACTCCTCTCCAAATGACCAGAACTAGTAGCCTGTTTCGTGGTACTGATAACTGAGGTGTGAATAAAGTGACTAAACGCCTTCTATGAATTTCTGTTATCACAATACTGTGTGAGATTGCTAACGTTTAGGAGCAGGAAAGGAAGAGGATAGTGAGGTGTGTTATTAGTGATGTTGACGGATACAATTTTACTGTAGAAAATAAATGGTGGCTGAACAATGCATAATAAGTGTATAATGAATAAATGTACCTGGTACAGCTCGACCTGCTGATGGAAAAATGTCTAATTCAACTTTATAATCAATAATGAACTAAATTATCGTCGTTACACCCATTTCAACAGTGTAGCAACTCGCAAATACTTTATTAGTTGTCAGGTTCAGTTACAACATAATGTACTCGTTCATTTGATGCATTTTATACATCGCTCCTCACAGATAATACACAGAGACCTGAGAATTGATAAGTTTACACATGATGACAAAATCTTAACCAGAGAATAAATTGACGCTAAAATCAGACCCCTTCTGTAGTGTGTCTGCTGGTATACATCTTTATTCGCATAAATTCTTGAATATTTTTAGAGACTGCTTGGTAACTACTTGATCTGCAGTGACAAAGAAAATGTTGATGCTGATGATGACGCTGACCCTCAACGTGGCGACCGTCCTCCCGCTATCCCCGGGAATCTCAGGTATGTTCAGGGAGACTGTTATTTGCGTCAGGTAGATGGCAGGCTGTTGTGTAGACAAGACGAAATTAATTGATTTTGTTTAGGTCCATAATATTACGAATGAAGCCTAAGAGCAATGTAAAAAATATATATAAACATATATACATGCAAGAACACAGAAGGAAAAATGGGACACTGATTAAGATAAGTGAAGTAAAGTACAGAAGAGGAATTAATATCATAAAAATGATCCTATTTTTTACAATGGAAGTGAAAACACTCTTGCGTGACGTGTGAAGTTCTTTTTTTTTCACTGCTGACTTAGAAATACCATCCTAGAATTAGTAAGTCCTCCGCAGTAAATAATAAGACCAGTGCTTAAAGTTTCTGGCAGGTATGAGCTCCACATTAGTCAGTTTTATACCGCGAGATGAAACTTTTCTTAAACCAAGTAGAGGATGAACTTCAATACGAAAAAACCTCCATGAAAAGGATAACAACATTAAAGAAAATATAACAGAAACCAAATTTGAAATGTCATAATACGGTTATTATTTGATTCATTTATTACAACCCAGGGGGCGACAAGCCTAGTCACAAGGCCATGCGGTCAGAGACTATTACAGCGGTACTCATAATACGGTAAAATATATGTGTAAATTATTGGTATGAATGACCAAGTTGGAAGGAAGATGAGTAAACTGAGTAGATATCCGGTCACTCATCTTTGTGTCGAAACCGCGAACAGCCGCACGGAACCTACACTAGTGACTTCTGGCAATTCTTTTTTGGAAACTGCAATAGGGTAGTTAACCACATATAAATTGTAAAGTAGTTTTTTTTTTACTAGATTATCTCCCTTAACGAGAACTTCCACACTAGATGGCTTCCACGTGGAGACTTATGCGGGACTACGAGTATGTCAAGGATTTTGCTTCTCAACCCCTGTTTCTGACCTTTGATGCTCTTCACGTGAGGATAACTTACCGCAGCAATAAATATGACGACGGACGTTTTGACCAACAACTGGACTGAAGTAGAATATCGCCGAGATGTGTTGTGTGCCACTATACTGTAGGTGCACTTATTGAGCTCTACTTAAGAACACAATAAATTTCAGAATTATGTGACAACGCAAAAGCAAAAAATCTTTGTACCGCGTTTGAATTGGCCGTAATAAATTTTAAAACCTGAACGAGCCTTTGCTGACATCTTGTACAGTAGTTTACAATCGATATAATGAAAGTAACTTGTATTCATATCATTTATTATTAAATCGATGACCTACCAACATGTAGATAAACAATAAGGATCCCAGTTAATACAGTAAATTGCTTTACACTTGTCATGGTGTCAGTTGTAGAAGTAACACTATACGGGTCTAGATACTTGAGCAGAAACTAGTCATAGTGTCACCTCACACGGGCTGTTGTTTTATTGTTGTTGTGTGATAGTTTACAGAACAGAGTTACAATTTAATATGTAATCCAGGTCTACAGTTTTGTCTCATAGAACTTATCTATCCTAGTTATTAATGCGGACCACAAAACTTGACAGATTATTCCACTCTTCTGCAACCTTATTTGGTAAAGAGTTTTCTTGCTTTTGTGTAGAAACTCTTACCTTCCTATTAAATGATATTTATTATGGTCTCTAAACTAAAAAACACAATTTCTATGTCTAATAACTTTCTGGATAATTTTCAGGAGAGTTGTTGTCAGTCGCAGGCGGTGCTGTGGGCGCCGTGCTGGAGGCGGTGTCTCAGCCCATCTGCTCCCTCATTCTCCTCACAGATGGCACCACCTCACCCTCCACCATCCTCAAGGTGATGTTTGAGCTCTACTTCAGTATAGTGCTCGACTAACCTTATTATTACTATTACGTCTGCCCAGGTTGGTTATTATTTTAGCAACCTTCCTGTTTTAAAGTGGGAAACTTTATAACAATTCCTGCGTTTAGTGCAGAACTATCAATGAAATGTAGCTTCAATTACCCTCAGTGTTCGTCAGCAGATAATTTAAGACTTGGAAGAACAAAACAGCGCTCACTTCCTGCCCTAAGTGTCGGAAGGTGGAGATGGGTACTGGACTTAACTTTACAGTCGGGAAAGTGCCGGCGAACACCGCCACCCTGTGTATAGAAGGCTGTGTAATTTCACCCCTTTGCCCCCAATGGTGCGTCAGTCCTATGGGACCCTCCTTTGTCTTCACGTGGCAGCTAAATTGCTCATAGGGGTTTTGAAGCATTGGTCTCAGTTCATTTGTAATCACTTTCACGTCAAAGTTGAGACTTATTAGAGTATAGATTATGTGTGTTGGTGGTATAGCTGTAACGCGCCCTTCTCACCAATATGTCCAGGGTTTGAGACCTGTTTGGCCCGGACACACGTGGGAAGGCTGTTATCCAGTGTGACCCTACAAAACATCACAGGATTCTTCCTTTACTAACACTGAACAGATCAACCTCCCGAACGGCTAGTAAGCTGATAGGAAATTAAATTAAAACTAAAATAATGTAGAAGTTGGGTAATGTCCTGCACGCAACAACAGTGGCTGAGGGTGACGGCAGTGACGGTGTCAGCTAAGATAAGTTTGGTACATGATTACAATAAATAAGGAAAGATCAATTAGAAACTTCTACCTTACAGAATTACTTAACATCTTTAACTGGAGAAACAGTAAGGAGACGCCAGAAAAAGCCAATGTGCAGTTACCAAGAATCGTGATAAAAATTTTCATACGAACAGCGGTTGGCTCCGTGTAGCAAACCTGTGAGAGTGGCATCAAGGCATTTATGATAGAAGACATAAACTAAAATAAACTAACTTTATCTTATCGAATAATTAATCGTTTTCTTTAAATCAAGTTATGTTAGGTTAAAGTTTGGATCATATCATCTTCATAAAATGGTTTAATGCCGTTGCCTCAGCCGTCATTTGTAAATACATTTGTAAATAAACACTTGAAGCTGAATACATGATAAGAATAAGTTAAAATTAGTCTCTTCGTACTCTAAGTCGTCGTTTATACAATAACAAATAGTGTTTAATTCTGTTATATGGAGAATGTTCATGAATTAATGGCAATAGCGTAGCATATTATTATTATTGTAAATATTAAAGATTTTGTAACTCGGTTTATTTCTCCAAAAAAACGCAGACGAGAAAGGATTTTTGGTCACACTTGTTTATTTGTGGACATGCTCATTTAATTACGATACTTATATATTTGTTTTATTATGTCTCAGGAGGAGAGTGTAGTACGAGGGAGCCCCTGGGGTGTGGGGGTGTTCGAGGTGGTGGTGGACGGCCAGGACGCTAACGGGACCCTGATGCTGCTATCCCACCTGTTCCACCAGGCTCGACAGGTAGGTCACTCTCCCACCTGGCCCACCAGGCTCGACAGGTAGGTCACTCTCCCACCTGCTCCACCAGGCTCGACAAGTAGGTCACTCTCCCACCTGCTCCACCAGACTCGACAGGTAGGTCACTCTCCCACCAGTTTCACCAGGCTCGACAGGTAGGTCACTCTCCCACCTGCTCCACCAGGCTCGACAGGTAGGTCACCCTCCCACCTGCTCCACCAGACTCGACAGGTAGGTCACTCTCCCACCAGTTTCACCAGGCTCGACAGGTAGGTCACTCTCCCATCTGCTCCACCTGCTCTACTAGGATCGACAGGTAGGTCACTCTCCCACTTTTATGTAAGTACAGTAGTTACTCAGCTTTTGGTAAATGTCCTGGCTCTTACTGACATAAGATCGCCTACTGGTCCTTGCCTCAACCTGACCTGTCTCCCGACCCGATCCATATATGGTACTTGTTCTGTCAGGGATCAGCTAGATTAGTTTGCGCATTGGATCAAATTTATTTAACTGATTCCTGACGGCAGGTGTGCTGTGCCACTGCATCAACCACGAGACAACACTTCAGGCTCTCATACTCACCTGCGACGAGAGACAGAAAAGAGCACAAAATAAAATGTTCCAAGAAGCAATAGAGAAAAAATTACACCACTAAAATAACAATGTGGATACATTCTCACCAGCTCAAACTTCTTCAATTTAACCTCGACCGTTCCCCGAGGTAACAAGGACAAGAACCTCAACACCCATATGCGTAATTTGGAGGGATCTTTTGTTTTGACTTGACACCAAAGTATTTTAAGGTGCTGCACTACCTAATGTGTTCTACGTGATAATAATCTACTGCCAATAGAAAAAGTGGTAAATGATACTACCGTTACCTAATAAAGAATCTCCCTGGGCCATCATCAGATGAGGATGGAGTCTTGGTGTGTGCGGGTGGTGGTGGTGAGTCACGATCCGGTCTTCCTCGCCACCTTCGCCGAGTGGTCCCTCAAGGGCCGCCTCCTGGTGTGGGCCACCAAGCTGC